GGCCTGAAAAACCAACCCGGCGCCAAGCGAGCAGGAAGCGAGTCAGGAACAACCGGCGTCGACAAGCGTGTGCTTGGCTGCAAACAACCCCAGCCCCACAGGCGTGTCCCCCATCCCCATGCTGCCGGGGTCTGAACGGGACCAGGATCTGTCCCCCCGCCCCTGCAGCAGGGAGCCCCCGGCGTGGCATCCCGGTCCCCTAGGTACCATGGTGACCTTATCACCCACGTTACGTTGCTCCTGGGGAAAGTACCCGCGCTGTCACGGGATGTCTTTGATTAGAGCTGGGTTTCGTCTGGCTCCAGAAGCAATCTGGGCTCAAGCACCGGCTCCCAAACAGCCGCAGCCCAGCTGTCACCCCATGGGGCTCGGGTGGGGAGCTGGCCCTGGGGTCCTGGTAACGCAGCTTGTCCCAGTTTCTTTTCTAAGATGCAAAATGAGCAGGGGACAGAAATGGTAGGGACAGATCAGAGCCTTTCACAGGGTATCACCGTTCAGGGGAGAGACCCACAGACATTACACAAGGTGTAAAGCCTGGGTAAATGAGCGACCTGGGGGAAATGTCCCATGTCCTTAGGTGACTGTCCTGCAAGGCGTGCTGGTGACACACAGCAGCACATCTGCACAGCCACACTCTGCAGCTCACTGCAGCCAGCCCAGCTAAAGCCCTTCCCCAGCATCCCAGTACATCCACCTGCCAGACTGGCCGTGCACCTTTGCGGCCACTGGGAATTGCATTTCCAATGCAGAGATGCTCCAGCCCCAGCAATCCTCCAGAGCTGGGGTGTGTGGATCTAGCCTGGGGGACACAGCCATCCTGGCACCGCTGCCCCACAAAACCCAGCCTCCAGGTCCCCAAATCACGCCACACCGCTCGTCGCAGGGTTTTTCTGGCTGGTCCCATTGACGTGACCCATGTGCGGCTCTGGGGAGATGGACCCAGCCCCGGATGGGGCGTGGGGAAGGGAGAGGGACCTGTCGTGCGGAAACTCGGGTTACCCGGAGTTCAGGTTGGGTAAATAAAGGTGAAGGGAAATGACAAGCCCTGGTGGCTGTGTTTTCAGGGAATTGTTTTTTGTTTTGCAGGAAGGGGTTTATTTGGCGGTAAATAAATCCCACCAGCCAGGGATCGCTCCAGGAGCCAGAAAACGAAACTGCCTGACTCACAGTTTCAGTGAGAGGCAGGGTAAACACGCCGCCAGAACAAAAGAGGAAATACCAAATAAATACCCTGGTATGATTACAATTATTTGGTATTACTATACCAAAAAAAATCCCTGGTTTTAGTTACCCCAGGCGCTATTTTTAGTAACGCAAGGACAGGGGGACACACAGCTTTTCCCCCCAGGTGCTCACCCCCAGCACCCACTGGGACCACCTCTGGGTCTCTTCCACCCAAAAGAAGATGCTCTGGATCAAGATTTGCTTTGTGGGTTCCCAGCACCAGCAGCGGAGAGGAGGAGAGCGGCTGGGAGCTCCTCTGGGATTTTTGGGCTCCATGTGGGATCATCGGGGCTGTGTCACGAGCCCCCAGCTGCTCCGCTTCTGCTCCATGGAGCAGCGACCCTGTTGTCCTCAGTCCCCAGCACACCCCCAGCATCCACACCAGACCCACCCCAACAGCATCCTGCCGTGGACAACCCTGACCAGACCCCAGCCACTCTCAAACATGCAAAATCCACATTTCTGCACAAGATCCTTCGTTTCTCGCTGTTCCCATCTCCCAGGGAGCAGCTGTGCCACGGTAAAACCTGGCAGGTCTCACCGAAGGTATCCATCAGACCTCGTTGTAACTACCCAGCCCTGCTACAGACTGTGCTAACGGCAGATGCAACCTGGCAGCATCCTTTTGGAGCTCAGGAGACAGGCAGTAACTGTGCTGAGAGGTGCGTCTGTCTGCACAGAGGGAGATATCCAGCTTGGGAACAGCAACGGGGAGAAGACAGCTCCAGGGAACCAAGAAAGGTCTCTGGAGATTTCTGCCTCGAGGGGAAGCCCAACTCCAGCTCATGGTAGTTGCAATTCAAGCGTGGGATGCGGAGATGGGTGGGCATCTCAGCTCTGGCAATGTATCCCCCTCTGCCCCACCAAGTTTTTCATAGATGATTTTTTGGGGCATCCTTTGCAGGCCAGAACAAAGGAGTCACGAGGCTATTCCAGAGAAGAGTTACTTCACAGCGCAACCATCAGAATTATGAGGTTTTTTTCTTTTAAAAATGGAAACCACATATTAATGGGGAATGCAGTTCAACACTGTGTCTGTGCTGGAGGTAGGAACTGCATGGGCACCAGACAAGAGACAAAAATATGTTTAAATGGTTTTGTTTACTCGAGTATGAGAACTCGGGCTTAAACAAGCAGCTCACATTTTTCCTACTCATTTTGCAGGTGGTCTTGGAAATGAAGACATGGAGATGCTCACAGATGCATGACTAATGTCCCTGAGCAACTATTTGTCACTTCATGACTTGCTTCACACGCAACGTCAAGTCCAGAGCTAAGACAAACACCCCAGGACCGAACCTCCCACCTCGCCAGGTACGTTACGTGCGTATTAACCACACACAGATGAGAAAGCCCAGGTGATCTGAGGGAGAGAGCAGCCGCCAGTCTGGCACGGCAAACTCTGAGTCAGGGTGGCTGGGCTTTCCATGCACAGCCCTGACACCTCCGACTTCCTCGCAGAGCCTCATATCGAAGCTCTGAGTTTTCCTAATAGCAATAAGTGGATATAGCAATATAGCAATATAGCAATACATCCCCAACACATGCTTTGGGGTTCCAGCTAGCGAGGTCCATGCAGCAGCTAAGCGTGACCATAAGCAATATTTTCATCACTGTCTGCAGTGCAGGGGAGCTGAGCTGCATCCAGCAAGTGTAAGGATGGCCACATCCATGCCTTGTTCCACACATCGGAGCCTCGATGGAATTCTCCAAACCGTTCCCATAGCTGTGTGTGTGCCCTGCAGCGTGTCAGGACAGGGAGGCACTGCCACTGCCATCTCTCAGATGAGAACTGGAGGGCAAGGTTAATGTTCTGAAGTGCGAGCCCTGTTTCCTGAGCTCAGCTGAGCACCCTTCGTGCTGGGGCTCCTTGTGCAGCGCTTGCTCCCCTTTGCAGGACCATTCATCAGCTAAGTTGCTCCTCCTCTTCATCACATTCTGCCAGGAGTATGAAGCTTCTGGCTTCGTTTACAATGCCCTAAAAACACCCCAAGTGCCAGTTGCCTCCCAGCCTGGACAGAAGCAGCAGCATCTTGTCCATGCCCAAAGCCACGGCTGGTAGAACCAGGGCTCAGAAGGATGCTCAAGCACATCCTTGAGCAGCAGATAAATCTCTTCACTCCCCACCGCATCCAAAGACAAACAGAGTGATCCCTCAATGAAAACCAGGCTTAATACCTGGTGACAAAAGCCTTCTTCCACCTCGTAACCCCACAGCACATGGTGGTGGAAGACACATTTCCATGAGGAAATCCATGAGGCTTCTGCCTGGGGGGCATGCAGAGACCCCACCTCCAAATTCCAGCTGGACCCCCAAGATTTGGGAAGCGGAGGGATGCCGGTATTGCCGGTAAGGGTTTGCAAGCATAGAGGAAGCATGGCTGTAAGACAGTGTGGGGAGAGTTCAGGGCCTGATCCTCTCGCTGGTTTTCACATCAGCATCTCCTTGGCCTCATCAGGAAATCAGCACACGTAAACAACTGCTCTTACCGAGCGATATCCATGCCTTGTAGACTTTGGTAAGGGAAGGACAGGGTATATTTTTCTTCCCATGTATTCATCTAGCACAAATGGTACTCTGAGACGGAGAGGAGTCCGGGCAATACCAGAGTATAAATAACGTTATCAGGCCAATAAAGCAGCTCTGGGCTGGATCTGAGCTCCAACACATAAACAGTTAGGGCTAGCTCCTAATCTCCGTTATTGACAGAGCTGCAGTGACTCAGCCCTATTTATAGGTCCACCTGCAAAACAGGTTAAGAAGTCACCCGTGTTTACCAGCTCTCTGTGCAGCGGCATTTATCATTTTGGGATGAAACAGGAGCTGAGGTTTTTCCCAGCCTCCTTTCGGCCCCATTCCCAGTTTCACCCATTAGCGGTGAAACACAATCACACAGTCTGCTGGGCTCGGCACGCATGAAAAACGGACTGAACGGCTTCTGAACGCTGGCGAGCCATCCCTCCTCATCCCTGCCATGCCAAGCACACCGCAGACCCGCTTCCACTCAGCAGCCGATGCGCCGAGACCGAAACCAACCGCCCGAGACCAGGCGCTGCTCAGGGAGGATTTTCTGTGTGGTTCAGACACCGAGCACCTTTCGCTCTCTTGTGCTTAGGGAAGGGAAAGTAAATGACGCCAGGTACCAGCCATACACCTCGCAGCCCGCCGGGGCGATCTGCCCCATATCCCAGCCCCTGTGCCCCCCGGCACCCTGCTCTGCCTGCGCGGAGCCGTGCCCCAGGCCAGCAGCTCCCTGCACACGATTTTCTCCGTGCTTTGCAAGCCCCCCTTGCTGCCCACCGCGCTAATCCAATGCCAAGCATCTCCTGAAAGCATTCAGCGCGTGCTCTCCCAGTTCAGCTCAGCACAGCTTTGTGGAGCTGATTTATCCCAGTCTTGCAGAGGTAGAGAAAAGAACCTTTCAAAGGAAGCAGGGAAAAAACCCATCTTTTCAAAGTCAGGGGGAAAAATAAAATGGGTTGAAAATCACAGCAAGGTTTTTACCTGGATTGAGTTCTCGTGACAGCCTGCGCTCATTGCTTCCACGGCGTCCCCTCGGTGGGTCACCGTTGTCCCCTGAGGCCATCGCAGAGAGATGCTCGGGGCTATCAGCTTCACCTGGAGCGATGATGAGAGACAGTCAG